CAAATAAAAACCAATTTTGAAGACCCACGTGAAATTACCATTAGTTAAGAAATTTGCTTTTTGTATAGTTTCCATTTAAAAAAGTAAAAAACTAGAAAGTAATTATATAATTCAAGATTTCTCGTTCATATAATTCGAAATTGTTCATATGATTACGAAAACCTTTATTTATATCAATTTTTAAGAAGTTGTTTTGTTGTGAGGATTTTCAAAAACCATACTCGCAACAAAAAGTGTAAAAATGAGAAAAAAAAAATATCGACAAGAAACGCCTTAAATATGGGGGGAACAATTTCGTATAAATATTGATTTCGCAGTCTTCTAGGCGTAATTGATGGTTATTCTGTTAAAAATGGAAATTTTTTGTGTTATTTTAGTGAAAAGTCTTCCACAAATATGGTTATATTTGTTTTTTTCTTATTTGAATAATATCTAGTATGCTACCTATTATATTAATTATTTATAAATTTATAATGTTTAAAGGAGCAATTAAATTAAATACCCGCTCCTTTCCAGTAAATGACTGTCCGCCGGCTTGTTCCATCAAGAACGACATCGGGAACACTTCATAGAGAACCCTGTTTTTTCAAACATTGAAACCAAAATAATTTATTGTGATGTAATTTTTAAAAAAAAAAAGTAAAATTAAATTAAATAATCATTAAAAAAATTTACCTTAATTTCCCATTAGGGCTCTTCTTATCAGCAGGGTACAAAAAGACACCCCCATAAAGTAAGGTCCGATGAACATCAGCAACCATACTGAATAAAAAAAACAAGACATGTCAGTTTTATACTGTGTTCGACATGTATCATTGTGGAAAAAGACGAAAATGCCCTTCTTAGGCTTAAAGCATTCAAGTACCTTCCCATTTTAAAGATTTTGCATTGGGATGAGTGAAAAAATGGAACATTGGTTTTTTTATCTATTTAAAAGACGAAAATGCCCTCGTTATCCTCTCAAATTTCAAGGATTTGAATACCTTCCAATATATCTTAAGGATTTTGCGGATGAACCATCTGTGGGGTACTTGCATTTTTCCACAAATCTGAAACTCAAAAAACGTTTAAAAAAAATGTGATAAAAATAAAAATGGGGTAGAAAATAATATTTTTACTTTGCAGTGGGACCATCCCAGTTCTTAGCATTTCCTTCATTGACCGAATAAATCTTTCCTTTCTTTGGGATCTGTGCACAAAGGAATTTGATACAAAAAGAATTACGAAAAACCGATTATTGAGATAAAATGTAAAATTACCAAACTACCCTTATTTTTATTCAACTAATTATGAGATTATCTGATTTTGCTTATTGAAGTAATTGAAAAATGTCATTTCCTTCTAGCCCATTAGGCAGTTACTCTGGATTGGACTATACAAAATTTCTAGGGCTGTATGTGATAAGATTGAGAAGGACATTTATGTCTTTTGCATACACAAGATTTTTGGCACAAAAAGTTATAGTTTTTGTCTTATTCAGATTAGTTTCAAATTCTTGTTCCACCTTTTGGGGACAAAAAGTTGCAGTTTTTATCTCATTGACATCAGTTTCAATCCAATAACACAACATGTTTTGTTGTGGGCTTATAGAAAAATGATAATTTAAAAGAATCTTTGCATAGGTTAAATACAAAATCAAGATTTATAAAAACAAGAAAGGTTGTATAAAAAGGCTTACCTTAATGTCTGCATGGGTGAGTATAAACTCCCCTAGAGATGGATCAAGAGTAAATCCATTGACACCTGATCCAGTGCTTAACACAAGCTGAAAATGCATGTATATATTTAGACAATAAAAATATTTGTTGAATTTGAAAAAATGAAAAGTCAAGATGAATTAGAACAAGTTTATTCCACAAAAATAATAATTTTGGTTAATTTATTATTCTCACCGTGCAAGAGCTACCATACATGCAGTATCCAGCAGCCACCATATTCTTTCCAGGCTGCAATACATCTTCTAAAGTTGCCTCATCACCATCTTTTATCATGTAAATCCCAAAAATCTAGAAAGGAATTCAACTTATCATGCTGCAAAATCAAGCTATCTTGAAGAAATTTCAATATATGTAAAGCAAATTCAAAAAAAAAACGATAAGTAGTTTTGATGATGTATCTTACAGTTCCTATGGAAACACCACAGTCAATGTTGGAAGATCCATCCAGTGGATCGAAAACAACACAATACCTGAATCACTTGCATATAATTTCTTGAATTATATAAACTTATAGAGTAACAAATGAGATTATAAGTAAAAGATTAAAAGAATTTGAATTGGGATTTGAGTTTGTCCTCACCTTCCACGTTTAGATGGTTCCACAATTATTGCATCTTCATCTTCTTCAGAAACAAGTATGCACTGAAGAAGAGTGATTCACTTAGTTCAATAATTACACTACAGATTTGAATTTGAATGTTTACAGATACTCACTGTTCTACCACTGCTGACTAAAGCCTTCACAAAAACTTCATTCGACAGAACATCCAATTTCTTCTGCTCTTCTCCCTGAAATTAATCCAAACAAACAGATAAAGTTGTAAGAACACAAGCAAAGAAGTTTGCATCTGTTAATGGTGAAAGTTGAGATGTGTTCTTCTGTTAACTTGCCTGTACATTCGTCTCCCCGGCAAGTCCAATGAGTTTAGCCAAACCTGCCTGCATATCCAAATTTTATACCATAAGAACAGTTTGCTAAACTTGTTTTAACGGCATTTGTTTAGCAATTACTGTTGATTTCTGACAAAATTAGCACATAAATTGTGGAATCCCCAAACTTATTGTTTCATCATAGCAAGTTTAACTAGGGTTTTTTTCACTGATCATCGGAACAATACATAATCCTAATCAATTACTCATATAATTTTGCGATACGAAGAGAAATATGATGATCGGAAGAAGGTCAACTGCTTGTAAAAATTGATTAAACAGGGGGAAATAAGATGACCTTGTTAACAGCGGAGCAGACGAACTTGCAACCTAGAACAATGTGACTGAGCAAGATACTGAAATCACCGCGTGATTCCGGATGCTTCGACTGTTCATTCAGCACAAACCGAGTTATGGTCATCAAATCCGTCCGGAAGGCATCGGCGGCATGATCCATCTTTCTCCGGCGATAGAGTTGATCTCTGAGAACTCTATATACTTTTTTTCTTCAATCTGTATCGAAATCAGACAAGATTGAATTTCATCGGTTGACAAAATCACGCAATTCAAGGAGAGACAGGAAGATAATAGCGTTCTTATATGTGCACGGGAATCGAAGATGAGGTTATCTGCGGCCAGTGGAAGTTCAGATGACACGTGGCGGAGAACGGCGTGACGGTGACGCTAGCGGTTGTCAGGAGGATAACTGTAAAGAGGGCTGGTGGTTGCTTCTTCTTCGGCTATGGAAGGTAGCGGGAGTTCCAGACAAATACTATATTTTGGACTTTTTGGCAAGTACAATTATACTATTTTCATTTTAGTCCTTTTAATATTTTCATTTTGGTCCTTTCGCTTTAAAAGTATTACATCATAGTTCTTGACAACATTCCATATATAGTATATAAACTAGATAGTTCCATCGTAATCGTTAGAAAATGAAACTCAAAAGATTAAAAAAAACAAAATGTCATTATTTCAAATATGCTGAAAATGATTAAGTTGATGTATATTAATTGCATATAGCTAACATGTCAAGTTCAAATACACATATTTAATTTTACATTGATTGACACATATTACACCACATATACTGCATCCATAGAAACATCGTTTATGATGATCATGTCAACCAATCATCCAAGGATATTCTCATTTAATTTACCATATACCTCGAGTTAGAGAAGGAGTGAGGAAACAATGATCGGGTGACGATACCCTTGGAAACTTATAAGAGTCATAAGAAATTCGAGATTTGAAGGTACTATTAAGCTACAATGATGATGGAAGAGGATAAGAAAAGCATGGAATCTTGGATTCTAGGATAGAAACGAGCATGTTCTATATTTATGCTCGAAAGAAAGTTTGATTATTCAAAAATTCAGGTTGGCGTTGTAAGAGGAGTGTTATATGGCCTCTCTGACCGCAAGCGTTGAACATAAAGAAAAATCTAATCTTTTGTTTTTTTTTTTTGTTTTTGGTGCAGGATGTAGCATCTCATGTTGGGGTGGCCACAACTCCATCAACCGTGTTATTTACGTCTAGTTCCCAAGTTTTAGCAAAGAAAAAAAATATATAAAGAGAGAAAAGAAGACAAAGGAAAACAAAATAAATTTCTCTTTTGTATTTCTAAGTTGGAAAGAAGTAAAAGGAAAATCAAAAATTATGTTCTTCCTCTTCAAATCCTTTTGGTTCGGAAGGAAATTTATGAGGTAAAGTGATCTTATTTCCTTCCACTATTTTCCTTTTAATGAAACTCGAGAACATCATTTTTTTTTTACTTTCTTCTCACTTTCATTAATTTCAATTCTTTTCTTTTGTTAAGTTAAACTTAGAATAAAAGGTGTTAATATTATTTATCCTACGGATGGCTCAAAGTTTGCATCTTTAAGGCTAAACGGTGTCATGATCTTTTTACCCATGGTAAAGGGACGTTACATAGGTGTCACGTAGACTTTTACAATTTTCACATTTTTTACCTACAAAGTGTAGTATCGTAGTTATGATTTTTTTTTAATTTCATTTTAGAAAAAGATTAACTTTTTTTAAAACCATACTAAAATTTAAAATAACATAAACGTAAAAATTACAATTTAAAAATCCTAAAAATAAAAAAAAAATTAAAAAAAAACATGAAAATTAAAATTACGTTGAAAATCTAAAAATTAAAAATAAAACATGACGTTGAATTTCAAAAACCTAGATCAAAAAATCAAAGCATCAAATTTTTAGTTGCGTTTCAGATTATATTTTCCCCGAATCGATGCTTTCATAATTCTTGTCACTTTTTGATATTCGGGGTCGAGATGTCTCACATCTTGCATTAATAATGTATACTCCGTGAGTCGGATGGTTTCAGACATATACCTCTCCAATGTTGAATTCAATTGGGTCATTTGTGTCATCATTTCTTCCAATTTGGCTGACCGCTCGGTTCCAACTGAAGAATTTAAAGAAGTCGTTTTCCCTTTTCCTTTTGCTCAAGCTTTTGTTTTGTCTCTTCCCATTGGACGAGGAGGTGGGCGTATTTCTTCAATGTCGTCGTCATCATCGTTAAGATTAACGCTTACATGACCATCCAATGAGACTTGTTGCGAGCTCGAATATGAAGACGTTCGGCTTCTTTTTGGCGAATTTGCAATTTCTTCATGTGTTGCAAGTTCCCTCCACCTAATGCTTCTTTTGACAACTTCTCACACATGAATAAACTTAAAAGACTTTTGCATATCATCTTGGAAGGTAGCGTGTGTTTTTTTCAACCAACTCGCTTCATTTTCTCCGCTAGTCCATTGCTTCTCAATGTTTGTGTAAATTCCATTTCAATGTGTGATGACTTTGTTCATAAGATTCAATTTGGAGTTATATTGGTCGGAGGTTCGATAGTCTGGACTTCAACCCATTACCCTACAAAAGCGTTCCGTGATACGTAACAAAAACCGATCACGATTTTGACCCTTTCCTGTGCCACCATCTTCAGATATGTCGACCCATGACCTTGCTAACTCAACTTCTTCTTTTTGTGTCCATTTTCTAGAACAGCCATCCATTTCTTTTGTTGTTGAAGTTGTTGTTGTTGTTCTTCGTGTTCGGTTGAAGGTGTGAATGACGATTGAGATGAAAATTGGGGTTGAGATGGTTGGGTTTGAGGTTGAGATTGGAAATGAAATTGTTGGGGCATTTGGAATTGTGAATAATAGTTAGGAACACCATCTATTTGTGACCGGTAAGGTGATGGCGAAAAATGCGTAGGCGTTTTTAAAATTTTGGTTAGAAGAGTTTGGGTTGTTGGAAGAAGACATTTTGAAAGAAAGAATTTTTATATTGAAAGTGTATTATGTGGTAACTTTTTTAGTATGTGAGATGTATATATATTATGTGGTAATTTAAAGTTTGGGTTGTCCTAGATGGCATCATGGACCAATGCGGGACAACATAAAATACATTTTTCGACTACCTTATTTGAATTGGAAATTTTTTATTTGTCCTAACTTGGTTTGGATGTTCATAACTTTTTATTTGTCCCAACTCTGGTTGGACGTTCAAAATATCAAAATAAAAATATCGCATTATATTAAGATGATGAATAAGTCTTATCTTTAATCCACGAATGTTAAATTAACATAAAATCCATCACCTTAAAGGCTTAAACCAATCATTGATGTGGAATAACTTTTTTGTTAGAACGGCGGATATAATATTAAGAATTCATAGTTTATCATCTGACTAGACCAATCTAACGAAATTATCTTAGATCTATAGACCACATACTTGGAACTCAAATCGATAATAATATGCATTTGCCATTTAGAGCGTGTTTGATTTAGCTTCTGTGGGGCAAAAATCCTTTTTGTAAAAGGATTTTTTATACAATGATTTTTTACAAAAGTTGTTTTTTAAAATGTGTTTGGATTAGTTTTTAAAATGAAAAAATCAAAAGTTAAAGTGTTTGATTTAACTTTCACATGCAAAATGATTAAAAATGACATGTTTATATATTTATTGGGGGTTGATGGAGATATAAAAGTAATTTTAATGTTTAACACCATTGAAAAGTTGGAAAAATCATAATTTCCTGACTTTTCAAAAAGACCAAATTTACTCTATTGAAAAGTTGGAAAAATCATGATTTCGTGACTTTTCAAAAAGACCAAATTTACTCTATTGAAAAAGTCATTTTCAAAAGTCATTCTCATCTTCTCAAACATCTTTTTGATTTTTTCTAAAAGAAAAAAATCCAAAATCATTTTAGAAGTTAAACCAAACACTCACTTAGTATTAAGAAAAATTCTAAATTTTATCTGCTTTTAAAGCTCTGTGCCAAAGTCGGTTCAAAAAAATTAAATATCCTCAAATGTTCACTATATGTAAAAAAATCAGTTATTGTTATTATTATTATTATTATTATTATATAATAAAAAATTATATGATATGCATTTGTCCACTTTATCCCCCACCCCCTCAACACCCCATGATTGTATATTGTTGATTTCAGTTTTGATTACCGAAAAATTTTCATAAAGTTGAACTTAGGCATTCTCAAATTAGTACATTTTTAATTTGAGAAATCAATTACCTATTTTTTCTAATACCTAGTTTCATACTAATAGATCAAGACAAATGTTAACATCAAGAGATGAGATTAAGAAAAAAAATTATGTATTCGATTGGTCACGAGTTTATATGACTAGGAAGAAAAATAAAAGCAAAAATTATATATTTATATATATATATATATATATATATATATATATATATATATATATATATATATATAGACACACACACACACGTTGGCCTTGATTTCACATTTTAACTCGGGTTTGTCGTAAATGTTTAGTTATTAATAATTTTTAATCTAGGTAATGTAAAGAGGGATATCATTGAATTATATTTAAGACCAAGTTTATTTGAGAAAGATTTAGTTAGAAGACTATATGATATAAGTCTAAAATGTGAAGTGTCAAATTCTAATCTAGGTGTATTTGGTTCTGACAAGTTTGACTAGATGCGAACGGTCGCAACGAAGTGGAGGCATTGTTGAACGGTTGCGACTGCGACCGGAGGCGAACGATCGCAAGCCTTCGCAGTCGCAAGGGATCGGTCCAGTTGGTTGTGAATCTCGAAAGGCGTGGCAATGTGAATCTCAGCACGTATTGTGATCCGATTCTCAGAATACTATCAGATGCGAACAATCTTGCAAGACAGAAAACTCTTATGCATTCAATTACGAACGAAGCACACTTACTGTTGGGTACAAAAGTCATTTGTTGGGATCGATAGCACATGGGATTTACATGATAACTTACGTGGGTTAAGGACTGGAGTTTCCATTTATTAGGTGTGTCTTTTTCGTAGCTTCCAATAAGCCTCTAGAGGCAGTTTCTTCTAGTAGTCGGTTACTGTTAGTGGGTAGTTTATTTTCTTTGTGACCGTTGTTTGTCTCAGGCTATTAATAGCTATTTTAGTTGTCTTTGTAATCAGTTGTTTCCAGAATTTAATCCACAAACTTTTGTTCATCCAGTTGTTGTTGTAGTCAAACTTTGTCAATTGAAGGAGGCTTTCCTTATTTTTTGACAGAATTCAAACCAATAGGTCTTGGTTTGTCTTCACTGATATTCAATCTATAGGTCTAGATTGTCTATTAATTATATCCTTTATTTCATGTTTTCGCTGTAATCACAGAAAACCCAAGACAATCCCTCCGTACACATATCATAAGTGGTATCAAAGCTCAGTTTAGATGGATTGAGAAGACCCTAATCTTTTGTGTAACCTTCGTGAAGCACTCAGAAACATTGTTGGAGACCCAAATCGAAGACATCTGATATGTGCATATTTAGTTATATATTTTGTGGAGAATCTTAATACTTTTTGGCTATTTTATTTCAATTATTGAACAAAAGGTACTTAATTATGTTTAAATTATATTTTTCAGCCTAAAAGACGTGCTCGGAAGCAAAAGGAAGTGGGAAATGCAATAGGAAGATCGAGAATGGAAGAAAGAAAAAGAGTCAAAAACCTAAAGAACTCGGTGAGTTGGACACCTGCTCGACGAGTAGGCACGAACATTCACGAACCATTGGGTGCCTTACCACGCACGGATTTTAAGTGAGGAACTCGACGAGTCGCCCATGTTTTCAGAAAACTATATAAAGGGCATAAACTCACGAGACAAGGACTCTTTCTAGAACCTTTGGAGACTGAATTGCGATTGAGAGTGCTGCTAGAGCTCTGGAACTCGATGATCAACCTTAGCATTCAATTTTAAGGAGATCGAAAGGCACAAATATATTCTCTTTTCTTAATCTAGTGTTTACATCATGTTTGAATCATTAAGTTTATTTTGTGAGATGTTTTCTGCTATGAATATGAACTAAAAACTCGTTGCTTCTAAATTTTATGGGTTGGATTATTTAATTTGGTGAATTTTGTTTTGTTAAGCTTGTTAAAGATCCTCATGTGTTGACAATAACTATTTTCTGTTAATTATCAAGTTTATTAAGTTGCATGAACATCTCTTAATTGCTTGTCTCATATAATTGATGTGAAAACAATATTATATGCCTAGGAATAGTGAACATGAAACTAGAGGTTAATTAGAAAACAGGTAAGTCAATGTGTGAGCTTGTGTGATGAACAACTATACAAGAGGTTAATTGAAATAGTAATTTAATTAGCTAACTACAAGTCTTGCTTAACCCGAATCAATAAACTAGGAAACTCATTAATTTAACCAATTGGCCACTGTTTGATTTGATTTGTTTTCTAAGGATTAGTAATAGTGAACATGAACCTAATCAATTTAATCGGTAGCCAATGACAAATTAATCAATTGCACTTGCCATAAAATCAACCATAGGAATAAGTATGTTGAACCTTAACATAAGTCTCCTTAATTATTGAATTTAGTTGATTTTTATTTTTTTTTAGTTGGTAATTGTTTTGTTTGAGTGTTAGTTAAGTGCTTAAGTTTCTAGTCTTGCAAAACTAGAGAAAACCTCTTTTCTTTTATTAATTATTTTTTAGATAATTCTAGTAGTTAGTTTAATTACCGTTCCCTGTGTTCGATACCCTGTTTGTTCAATTGATAGGTACACTGCCTTTTGTGTGTCTAAATTATATTTAAAAAGTAGAACTAAAACTAGTGCATTCAACACACATCAGCATCCTATGTGTAAACTGCATTGGGTAGAAGATGTCAAGATTACCGAATTGCCTCAATTCGTGGGTGGAACCGATCCATGGATACATTTGGATTGGAAAAAGAAAATCGAAAGAATGTTCGAATTCAAGGAATTATATGATGAAAAGTGTTGCAAATATGCAATTATAAAGTTGAGTGATGGAGCTTCATTATGGTTTGAAGGGATGAAGGCCAAAGGGATGAAGGCCAAGAAACCCGTGAAGGAAAATATAAGATCTCTTCTTAGGAGTCCTTGAAGCGTAAACTACGGAAGAGATATATTCCAGCCAACTATAGGATCATCAACTATAGGAGGAATGCTGAATTGAAGCATTAAAAGATGAGTGTGGGAAAATACATCGATGAGTTTGAGAAACTATCGTTGTTGGGCGATATAGAGGAGATAGAAGAACAAAAGATGGCACGATTTCTACGAAGCCTAAATTACAACATCTCCACTACAATAGAACTTTATCCCTACTCTAATTTGAAACATTGTGTAGTTTTTATTTGAAGTTGGAAGTCCAAGCAAAGATAAGGTTTGGAGGGAACTCTAGTGGGGAATCTACTAAACCCAAGCCTTGGGTTAAGTTCAAAACCAACATGAAGGTAATCGCAAAAACTACTCCCAATATCACAAGTGGTTCCAATGTGACCCCAAAGATGTACAATGCAAACAAGGAAACAAGTTTGTCTAAGGTTCGTTGTTTCAAATGTCAAGGTTTTGGCCATTATCAAAATGCTTGTCTAAATAGGAGGGTGGTGACATTAAAGGAAGCTATTGAGATCCAGGATTAGCTATTAGAGGAAAAAGAGAGTTTGGGCTATAAGTTTGTGATTAGAGAAGTTTGTGAAGATGAGGAG